GTCCGCAATCAGCAGATCGATCCATCGCTGCCGTCGCACGAGCTCTGGAAGGAACGTCGGGAAAGGAGGCTGCAAAGGGCGTCACCATTGGCCATTTACATCTGCAGATGGACGACGGTACGGCAGCTGCTGCGACGGCTTCGTCTGCACACGCGGGTGCTCTAAATGTAGGAAACATGGACGAGGATGACGTGGTTATCCATGAATACTTGATGCGCCAAGAAGCGCTACTGCTCGAGCGCAAGCAGCAACGCGAGATAGCGTCGTTTGACGCTGCTGTGGCTCACCAAGGATATTGAGGTCGCAAGCGAGCGAATGTGGCCGAAGTGTTCGCGAGTGAAACATCGGCGTTATTCGACGTCGTTTTTGCTCCAAGGAACAAAGTTTCAATTAAGTTGGGCATTTCTGCTGCGGCAGACGTTGCAGAAGCTTCGCCGCTCTTGCGTTTCTTCTTCCTTGTCGAGCTCTCGTGGCCTTTTCCAGCTCTTTGAAGCGCTGCGCCGCGTTGGATAAACGCAGTTCGCTTACGATGTGCGGGACGCTGACTGTTTCTATACGCTACCGAGCTCTTGTCCGTAGCTTCCACTTGCTGAGTACTTGCCGCCTCTCTCGCTACCTCACGTGGCCACGATTGCTCCGTTCTCACCGCCCGCACAGCCTCCCCTTTGCTATCTCGTTCGTCAAGTCTACTCCAAGCGAACAGAGGTTCTCGTACAAGTCGCGATGTCCATTCTTGAGAGCCAGAGGAGCGATTGTCTCCTTCGTGTGGAGCGTTGGCGTGTTCAAGTCCACTAAGTTATCTGCCACTAGAATTATCATCACAACGTCAGCGTATCCTTTCATCACCGCAGCCATAGTGTTCGGTAGACCTTCTCTAAAACACACTAGATCTTTTTTTCTTGGGCTCTTCTCGACAATGAGGCGGAGCACGAGAGCTCCAGGATTGACCATCCACTCGACAACGTCCGCGTCGTGCGCTGAGCCAGCCGCGGCTTGATGCGACAGCGTACAAAGGGCACCTCAGTTGTCTTTCGTTCAAGGTCCAAGAAGCTGAGGATCTTTCCTAAGTTCTGACTTGAGGTAGCTGACATCGTCTTCATTTAGATGTCCAGTACTGGTCTCCAACTGCCGCATCAGATCCGAGAGCCCTCGCGATGGATCAGAATGCGTCACACAACTCTAAGAGCACCTTGACAATGTCGTAACTGAGCTCCAACATATCGGGAGAGAACACGCGTCTTGAATAAATCGGTCCCGCAAGCACTGCCCGATGTATACAATGTATACATCAAACGAGTCTGGTGCAGATGCTGTAAAGTATACTATGTAGGCAGCAGTGTCAGGAGGCTCCACGTGCTCGAAACTTCACGCAAGTTAAGCTTCTTTAAGTCTCCACTCTGATACGTGTGGTCATAGACTCCATGAACTGTAGCAAAGCGCGACGGCGTTAGGAAAACTGCGTCGTAAACCTCCAACATTTTCTCGAAAAACGGGATCCACTCGAGATATTTCCCTGATACGAGAGCATTGTACACATATCCGAACGCTCGACAGATAGTCGCAATCTCCTCCCCCGTACGAAGGGATTCATGCTGGCACTTGATTAAACCTGCCAATAATACGAGCTCGATCGCGTGACATATCGGTCTTAAGGGAGAGCAAAACTGAAGTTCTCGTCGCCATTTCCTCCTTGCGCTCTGACACATTTCATGCGTTCGACGTAGCGACTCAGTCCTCCATCTCCTAGGAGCGCAAGCACCGACTTGATCCAGCACGTACACGCAAATACCAACGGGATTGAAGCTCGACGGGAAGTGAAAAAGTCATCCAGCAGGCCTAGAAGCGATCCCTTCCAAACTTGATCGATTTAATTGTACACCTTCCTCCTTCTCCTTTTCCCTAATCGTGTCGTAAACCAACGGCAGTTGCTGCATCAAGAACGCAGAAACGTTAAGTGGATCTGACAACGTGTACGTTGGCGTGTGTTCTTCTCTGTATCTTACCACCTCAAAATGATCTGGAAGCTGCCCAGCGGCTCGAAAGGCCAGCGTTTGTATTGTAGCACTTTCAGGAATGCGGGAAGAGTAGAAGACGAGAAGCGTGCTGTCGCTGCAGTGCGACATGGCCTGTTTCGCTTGACCTTCGAGATCTTATTTCGCGGCTGTCTTTGCGGGCTTGGTGCACTCGAACGATCGATGTCCAGGTTCTCCGCGGTTCCAGCAGCCTGTTGTCTTCTTTGAGTTCGTTGCAGTACTTGCAGCATTCGACGCCTTTGCACCGTTCGGCTGCGTGGACTGTTTCAGCTTGTTCTGTTTGTTTTGCTGCTTCTTGTTGCTGTTCAGGTTGTTCTGCTGCTGAGGCGGATTTTGCTTGCTCTGGCCAACACGACGCCCATCACCCTTCAGCCGTTGCAAAAGCTTGACCACCCGGTCCAGCTCATGCATGTATTCCTTGCTGGACTCGTCGATCTTGCTGAGTAGCATCGACGTCAGTTCTGGACAAGCGTTCTGGCACACCGTCTCGAGTAGTAGTTGCGTCTGGTCACCTTTCATGAGACGCTCAATGAACTGCAGATATCGTACGTATTGTTGCCAGGTGTTCCCCCCCGGCCTTTTTGGAAAGGGCCGAGTCTCCTTCCGCAATTTCCTATTGGGCTCCAGTGGACAGCCGAAGCCACCTCTTCAAATGGCTGTAA